AGCGCGGCGCCTATGCGGGTCACGGCGCAGGGCGTGGCAGGTGTGGCGTTTTCTCTACCTCGTACGGGGGTGCGCAGGGGTGGTCTCCGAGCGCGGCGTCTACGCGGGCCATGGCGCGGCGCGTGGCAGGTGTGGCACTTCCTCGACCTCGTAGGGGGTGCGCAGGGGGCGGTCTCCGAGCGTGGCGTCGATGCGGGCCATGGCGCAGGGCGTGGCAGGTGTGGCACTTTCTTCGCCCCGTAGGGGGTGCGCAGGGGGTGGTCTCCGAGCGCGGCGTCTACGCGGGCCGCGGCGCAGGGCGTGGCAGGTGTGGCACTTTCTCGACCTCGTAGGGGGTGCGCAGGGGGTGGTCTCCGAGCGCGGCGTCTATGCGGGCCACGGCGCGGGGCGTGGCAGACACGGCGCATTCTCGACAGCACCGGGGGTTCGCAGGGAATGGTCCCCGAGCGGGGCGCTCATGCGGGCCATGGCGCAGGGCGTCGCAGACGCGGCATATTCTCGACGCCGCAGGGGGTGCGCAGGGGGTGGTCTCCCTATCTGTTGCGGCCTCGCAAAGTGTGGCAGGCGCGGCGCGTCCTCGCCGCCGCAGGGGGTGCGCTGGGAGCGGGCTCCCTATCCGTTGCGGCCTCGCAAAGCGTGGCAGGCGCGGCGTGTTCTCGACGCCGCAGGGGGTGCGCTGGGGGTGGTCTCCCTATCCGTTGCGGCCTCGCGCAGCGTGGCAGGCGCGGCACTTCCTCGACGCCGCAGGGGGTGCGCCGGGGGCGGTCCCCTATCCGTCGCGGGCTCGCGAAGCGTGGCAGGCGCGGCTATTCCTCGAGGCCGCAGGGGGTGCGCCGGGGGTGTCCCCCTGTCCGCTGCGGCCCCGCAAGGCGTGGCAGGCGCGGCACGTCCTCGGCGCCGCGGAGGGCGCGCCGGGGGCGGCTACGGCCACCAACATCATTCTCACGCGCTTCACTTCAGCTATCGTCACTCCAGCCATAATATAAATATGCGGGGTTCTGCGGTGGCGCAATTTTCTCACGCCCTCTTCTTCGCGCAATCGCTGGTAAAACAAACGCGGGCGCGGCCGCCCGTCGGGTACCCCTTCCCGCGACAATAACAACGGGCACGAGTCCGCAGGCGCGAAGCATTTACACTTACGATGCCTTCTCACACGCGCGGGATCTGGAGCGCCGCCGTTGGCAGGCGCAGCAACGACGGCGAGGACCGCTGGCCGGGCCGCACTACTGGCGGCAGACGAATTAGAAACACCAGGCACAAGGCCACCGGGGGCGTCACGTAGCGACAGCTGCACAGGGCAGGCTTGCGCGCCGACGCCTGCAGAAGCAGCGCGTTTAGAAGGTGATGCCGAAGACGCTGAAGACGAGCTCGACGACGAAGAAGCATAATAATACTTGGAAGGTAGACCCGAAGAAACCTCCACTTGGAGACGTTTGACGTACTTGGTCAAGTTTTTGATCACCTTGTCCATCTTCACTTGGAGCTTGGCCTTCTCTACCTCCAGCCTGCCGATATTTTTCTGGATACAGCGCGTGCCTTTCGGCATTGTGCGCGCCAGGTGTTCAGCTGAGGCTGGCAAGTACGACTAGTGCCAAAATGCTGACGGACGATGGGGTGAGCTACGCGCCGGTATATTCAGCTACAGACGACGGCGTGAATCCAGGACCGACGAGAAGTAATCGCACCCCCGACATGAAGCAACAGCGCCAGCATCAGCGCAATCGTCATTTTCAGTGCCAGCGTCATTCGTCAACGTCATCATCAGCGTCGTCTTCGCAATCATCATCATCACCCTCATCATCAAGATCAACCAGATCATCGTCATCCTCATCGTCATCGTCGTCGTCATCATCGTCATCACCATCAGCATCATCGTCATCGTCATGCTCATCGTCATCATCATCATCGTCGTCGTCATCATCGTTATCCTTCTCCTCTTCCTCATCTTCCCCGTCCTCATCATATTCATCATGAGCACCACCACCAGCACCACCACCACCACCATCATCATCATCACCACCATCAGCATCAGCATCAGCACCACCATCATTATCATCATCGTCGTCGTCATCACCATCATCCTCATCATCATCGCCACCATCATCATCATCATCATCATCATCCTTGTCGTCGTCTACATCATCATCATCATCAGCATCATCGTCATCATCATCACCGCCGTGGCCATTGTCATCGTAATCGTTGTTATCACCAACACCATCGTCATCAGCATCATCATCAACGACATCATCAGCATCGTCGTCATCGTCAGGATTGATGAACAAAGGGGCATCCTGGGCATTGTCATCAGCATAGTTGTCATCACCAACGTTCCGAATAGCTGTCAGGGCATCCCATTGCGGGGATAATGCAAAATCCCACGAGCCCGTTGGACGCAAGTACAATACAGGGTCATAGATCCCCTCCTCCTCCTCTTTCCCCTCTCCTCCTCCTCTCTCCTCCTCGTTCCCCCTCCCCTTCCTCCTCCCTGCTCCTCCTCTTTCCTCCTGTATCCTCCTCCTCCTCCTCATCTCTCCTCCTCCTCCTCTCTCCTCTCTCCTCCCCTCCTCCTCCTTCTCCTCCCTCATCCTCCTCCTCCTCCTCCTCCTCCTCCTCCTCCTCCTCCTCCTCATCCGCTTCCTCCTCATCCTTCTCCGTCTACCCATAGGCGCGATGCTTCAAACATGCCCGTATCTGCTATGCAGTGCTATGCTACGAAATGCGATGCTACGCAATGCTATGCCTCAACAGCCAATGCAATGTCATGCTATGATACGAAATGCGATGCTGTGCAATGCTATGACGTGGTATGCAGTGTTATGCTATGCTGTGATGCAATGCTATGCAGTGCTTTGCTCTGTCATGGCTACGCATTGCTATGCTTTAATATGCTATGCAATGCCATGCTATGACACGCTATGAAGTGCGATGGAGGAGGCTGCCACTACCTTGAATACCATTGAGGTCAACCCAGGCGGAGGGTGGCGGAAAAGTTGGCGGAAAGACGGCGGAAGGGCGGCGGACGGGTGGCGGAAGGGCGGCGGAAGCGCGGCGGAAGGGCGCGGCGGACGGGCGGCGGCAGGGCGGAGAAGGCAGCGGAAAAGGCGGCGGAAAAGCGGCGGAAAAGGTCGCGGAAGGGCGGCGGAAGGTTTGCGGAATGGCGGCGGAAGGGTGGCGGAAGGGCGGCGGAAAGGCGGTGGAAAGGTGGCGGAAGGGTGGCCCAACGACGGCGGACAGTCGGAAGAAGCGGCGGGGGGCGGCGGAAAAGCGTTGGAAAGACGGCGGGCTTCCCGAGCCGTCACGGAAGGATTTCCATTGAATTCTTGCAAATCCTGGGCATAGAAAGACCAGAACCCAGAAACTGAAGAAACGCCGAGACGCCAGGAACCCAGGAGTCGTTGAAACTTGAAGATTTCCTGGGGTCCATAGAAATCAAAGAATCTATAGAACCCCCGAACTGTAGGAAATCAGAAATCCAGAAACGCTGCATGTGGAATCCACGGCTTTAGAAATCTCAAGGATCCAGAGAAACCTAGTAGTAATCCTTTAGGAATCCTTAGGAATCTCTTCGGAATCCTAAAGGGTCCTTAGAAATCCCGTCGGAATCGTTCGGATCCCCCGGAATCTGTAGGAATCCCTCGGGAATCCCCAGGACCCCCTGAGGAACCTTCGGGATCCTCACGGCCCCCTGAAACACCGCTGGGAATCCTGAGGATTCCCTGAGGAATCATCGGGCATCCTTTGCAACCCGCAGGAACCCCTCAGGAATATCTGATAATTCTTGGGGGTCGGGAGAGGCGGGTGCGAAGCGGTGCACATAATATGGTATTCCGATACCCTGTCCGCTCTGTCGGGGCCTCCCTTGTCCCCCCTTCTTCCTATCCATTGTCTCTCCCTTTCCCCTCCTGTTTTGAAATTTCCATCGCTTTTCCTCAGCATGTCCTTCCATACTCCCTCCCTTTTTTCTTTCCTTCCCCTATCCTTCTCCCCCCTTCTTTTCCCTTCCTTGTCCGTCCCTTTTCCCTTCCTTGTCCGTCCCTTTTCCCTTCCTTGTTCTTTATATGTTCCGTTCCTTTTCACTTCCCTTTTCCATCCCTTTGTTCAATGTATTGTCCCTCCCGTTTCCTCTCCAATCCTTCCATTTTCTATCCTTTTTCGTAAATGTTTCCTCCCGTTTCCCTTCCTTGTCCTTCCTTTCCCTGCCGTTTTCCCTTTCTTTTCTTTCCTTGCCCTACCGTTGTCCCTCCCATTTTCCCTTCCTTTCATTTTCCCTCGCTGTCCCGTCACTTGTTCCGTATATGTTCCCTTCCTTTTCCTCCCCTCTCCTTCCCGCCCTTTGTCCTGCCTCTTCCTTCCCGTTTCCCTTCCTTTCCCCCCCCCCATCATTCCCTTTCCTTCCCGTTTCCTTCCCTGTTCCCTCCCTTTTTCCTTCCTTTTCCTTTCCCTCCCTTTTTCTTTTCATTTCCCTCCCTTTCCCCCCCTTTTTCCGTCCCCTTCCATCCCTTGTCCTCCCCTGTCCTTGCCTTTTTTTCCATAATTTGTTCCATCCCTTTTTCCATCCTTTTTTCCCTTTCATGTCCCTCCTTTTTCCCTCCCTTTCCCCTCCCTTTCCCTCCCTTTTTCCATCTCTTTTCCCTCCCTTGTTCCCTGTCTTTTCACTCCCTTTTCCCTCCCTGTTTCCATCTCTTTTCCCTCCCTTTTCCTTCCCGTTTTCTTTTCTTGTTTCCAACCCTTTTCCTTCTCAGTCCTTCCCTTTAGCAACCCTCCCTTTTCACTTTTTCCCGGGCCGAATGAAGGGCAGGGGCGGCCCGCGGAATCAATTAACTCCGGAATTAAGTGATTTTGCGGCTGGGTGGACGCAGCACTCATAGAGTGACTTAACTGCGGATGTAAGTCGTCGTGAAGGTGGTAGCAATACAAAAGGAGAGAATCACTCAACTTCGGAGTTAAGTGATAATTACCTTGCTGGTTTCAGTGTTTTTCAGTCGCATCCGCCCCCCCCGTGGCTCTGGTACCGCTCTGGGGACCTCGCGAAGCGAGAGGAACCCATTGGTTTTCCTCCGGCTTTGAAGGATGTTAGCATTCTCGCCTTTTCGGGCTTCCAACGCTCTAAGACGGCCGAAGAGGTGGCCAAAAACGACCCGAGACGGCCCAAGAGGCCGCCAAAGACATCGGACAACAGACCCTCCAGACGACCCAAGAGTAAAACAGGGCTAGGATCGGGATAAATCGATCCAGAGCGTTCCAGAGCGCTCTCGGAGCGTTCCGGAACGCTCTGGAGCGGCCGCGGCGCCCAATACATCCTCCAAACCCGCCGATTCTCAGAGATTTCGAGTTATCCCGATCCGATTTTGTCCCGATCTTCGCGACGTTTGATCAAGACGACCCAAGAGGGCCCCAAGAGTGCCCCAAAAGAAAGAACACAAGCAGACATGTTGAACATTCCGCCCCGAGCCGGTCCTGAGAGCCCCCCAGAGGCCCCCGAGGCTCCCCCAGGGCGCCCAAGAGGCCCCCCAGTCTCCCCAAGAGGCCCCCCAGCAACCCACCAAGAGCCCTCCAAGAGTTGCACGGTTTCCCCCGGGGCCGTAGGCGACCCGAGGAGGAGGAGGAGGAGGAGGAGGAGGAGGAGGAGGAGGAGGAGGAGGAGGAGGAGGCCGAGGAGGAGGAGGAGGAGGAGAAGGACAAGGAGGACAAAGAGGACAAGGAGGACAAGGAGGACAAGGAGGACAAGGAGGACAAGGAGGACAAGGAGTAGGAGGAGGAGGAGGAGGAAGAAAGGACGAAGAGGAGGAGGAAAAACACGAGGAGGAGGAGGAGGAGGAGGATGAGGGTCGCCTAAGCCCTTCGGAGAAACCCTCCACCAATAGTCCCCAAGGATGCATCCAAAGATACCCTCAGATGCATCCAACAAGCCTCTGAACAACAGCCCAGGCACGGTTACGGGATGGGCCGAGGGTCACTAAATATTCGAACCGATGCAGGGCCAGATTCCAATGCGAACATACATTTCTCAATCTTATCACGAACTGAGCCCGATACAGGTCTAGGCGGCGTGAGCGCAACAGGGAACATGCCGCTTTCGAAACGCTGGTGCGGATCTAGTCTACACGGCCGCTAAGTTGGAATGGCGTCTGCATTCCAGCGTGGCCGGTGATGGTGTCTCGTTCTATTCTACCCAGTTGTATTCTACCGCTGCGACGGTCTGCAGCGCAAAGGGTTGTCTCTGGACCGTTCGAGTCAGGCACGAGCGTACGGCTGCCAAGGTCAACCCAATCAAAACGGTGACGCCTATCAAGGGCCCGAGCGAGGGCGAACCAACATACTGCGACTGCAGATACAACATGGACCGTGCCTGGCTGACACTCTTGACCATGAGATGCGCCTCATAAACCAGCCGACTGAGAGAGGACGGGACGCTCGACATGTTCACTCTGTGGACAGCGCCGCCGGAGACGATAAGTCCTGAACATCCTGGACATGCTTTCCCAAAAGACTCTGGTCCGTAACTGGGCAAATAGAGCACAGTGGCGTGGGAGCAAACATACAACTCCAGAATCAACGCAGTATAAGATTGCTGATCTTTAGGGAAGCCCAGATCCACTTCCCTCAAGTCGGAGATGCGAAGGCATTCTGCGAACAGTCCACGCTTGTTGTCACAGACGGTCCTCATGATCTTCTTCACAATTGTCTGCGGCATTCCACTCATAATGAAAAGCTTGGTTGAATTCTCTGGACCAATGGCCGGGGCCAAGGTGGTCTCGTTAATGTAGTGGTTCACCCACTGCACGAGGCTCTTGTCCACGACCGTCGCTTTTGGATTCAGGGAATCTGCCGCCCTCTTGTGCGCGGGCCACCAGGCTGCATGGCGTGCGGGTTCAGTATTCAACAGAGCCACGTCGCAAATCATCAAATCAATTATGCAAACACCCAAACCCCCGACGTCGTGACTTGTTCACAGCGTCGACTCCCAGAGGTCTCGACCCCTTCCCCAGGACCGGCTTCTCATCCCGAGTCGTCCTTTGACGGTCCCGAGGCCCGGTGAGGGCCCCCAGAGGCCGAAAAGAGTGCAACACTTCCCGTCGCGACTTTCTGACAACGCGAGGGGGTCTGGGTAACTCAAGAGGCCCAAGGACACACTAATAAATACACACAAATAAAAGGATTCCCCATATTTTCCTATATTTTCTGGGCTTCTGTCTTCCCCCCCACCGCCCATATTTTCCTATATTTTCGGGGGGTCGACGATTAATTGTGTCTGTGTGTGTTGTTTCCCCTCCTGAGTAACGTTGCCTGGGTCGCCTGACTTGGCGCACCGCGCCCCGCGGTGCGCGGCGCGCGGTGCTCTTCGTGTCCTCACTCCGCCGCCCAGGAGAGAAGGATTCCATCGCGGACCAGGCCGCGGCACACGAGGCGCGAGCATCGTCGCGCCCCCGCGGGGGACCGAATTAGAATTGGACATAGCTCGCCATCGCTCGGACGTCCATTCCCTGTGTTTTTTCGGCTTCGTGCGTGGTTTTTTCGCCAAATGATCAAGGATGCTCCTCGATGGTCCTCGCCGAAGGAAAAATGCACACGTCCGAACGATGCCAAGACGAGGCGCGATCATCATCGCGCCCCCGCGGGGGACCGAATTAGAATTGGACATCTGGGCGATTTCGAAAACCCTGAACCCACACGACGTTTTCATCTCTAGCGGGCACGCCTTCTACTTCCGCCGCCTTGCGCCGAGCTTCCGCCGGCGGAGGCGGCCTCGGTTTACTTCCGTCGACCTTCCGCCGCCTTCTGCGGCGGAAGAGGTGACAACGCCTTCGATCTTCGAAGGCAAGGCCATTTCTGGAACGCCCCATATCGCAACCTTGGTAACAACTCGACGAAGGGCAACAGTGGCATCTGCTGGGCTGTCCTGATTCCCCGAATCCTCAGGAATGCTCAGCATCTCAACGTCTGAATTCTACGCTGCTCAGCTTCTCACGAAATCGTAAGTCACACTAGCCCCATTCAGGGCGTGGGTGGTTTGAGTTGGAGCTAGTTATTTTGATATCTTACTTTCCCTCGGGGCAGAGGTTGACCTCCCCCTTACCCCCTCTCCCTGGTTCTGGAGGGGCCCGAACGCAAGCGGTCAGAGCGTCCAAGATGGCCGAAGATGGCACAAGAGGGCCCCAAATAGCCCAAGAAGGCCTCCAAGATTTGAGCAGGGACCGACCGTCCTGGCATTCCTACAGGACTACAACGAAAAGTTCTTAGAACCAAAGACGGTTCTAATAACAATAACAATATTCTTAGAACATAGGCCCGATGTAATAGAACAAGACAGTCTCAGCCAGACAATGTCCTATGAACGTTTCACGCAGACCATGAACAGTCTTTGGCACGCCTACAGCAAAGCCAGGACGCTTCGTCACTCCTTGAAAGATCTCACAAGGTAGCCTGGTATGGTTCAAGATAGCGTCCAGCATGCCTATCATATGCCCCGAGGCAGCGAGCCTGATAATGCGTACGTCTAAGTATGAGTATGAGTACTATGAATGAGTTTGAGCAAAGTGGGTAGGAAGATGAGTGAGTCTGAGCGCTAGCGAGTCTGAGTATGAGCGCCTAGGTGAGTGGGTCTGGGTAGGTAGGCATGGAGGGTATGAGTGGGAAAGGGAGAAGGGAGATGGGGATAAGAACCCGATGCGGGGAAAGAACAATTGATGCGCGCTCGTGCAGCCACGATCCCGTTGAGAATGCGCTGGTTCTGCGCGCACGAGGCTGTGAAAACCACGCTCGCTCATAACATACGCCCCTGGCTGTGTCCTTTTCTTGAACAAAGCCTTCCTTTCTTACGGGACCTGCTGGCAGAACAACCAACCATCCAACCAAACGCAGCCGACCAACGGATCTGCAAGCCAACCCAACGCAACCAGGTTACCAACCACCCGGCCCAACAAGCCCAGCCTGCCATGCAGCAGCTCAGAGAAAGCCCAGGCACGGGAGGCGAAGCCCCTCATATCATCATGTTGACGAAGATGTACGCACGCATAACGCTGCCCCAGATCGAGGAGCAAGGGAGCAGCAGCTGCATGAATCGATGCGCTGAAATCCGTAAAAAGGTGTGTGATAGGCACCTCTGGCCCACGCATTCCAAAAGCACTGCCAATCATGAGGTTGCCGACGGGGCTCGTCCGAAACAGGCCCTCCGTCCAGTCGTCAGAGCAACCGGAACCGCTCGCAGCATCTGGTATAGACTCCATTATCGAACGATTCAGGGCGACGATCTCAAAATCCCTCCAATCGAACGGCTGCGGCACGTGCGCCACAGGCCAGGATGAGTCATTCAACCGAAAAATGTCATCAAACTGCAGCGACCTCGTACGATACATGTTGTTAGTTCCCTTCACTAATGTTTCCATAAATTCTGCATCGTCACAAGCTGTACTGTTCAATCCACACCCGGCTAAATCATGGTGTCCCACAACTGGTGGCAAAAGAAGCCTGCAACCTAGAGATCTTGCAATAAACGCAGCACGACACGCCCCAACGACTTGATTCCCAAAGCCGCTGTGGCTCGCGTACGAGAGATTACAAGAGGTGCCATTCCAAGCGCTCGCCTTGTGAATTCGCTAGCCCACACGGCCAAATGCGCATTAGAACATCTGCTGAAATTGCCCGAGACATCCCCAACCAATTCTCAACGCGAGGCGACAATTTGCATGACCGCTCCATATCATCGAAGAATACAGTGCGAGATATGCACAATCTGAGTGGCCCTGAACTCCGCCGGTGCACAATCTGACTGCACGATACGTAAAGGCAGATGCGCGGTTCGAGACCCCCGACTCGGGGGTTGCTGAAGGTACCCCTGGCCGAAGGTGTCCCAAACTTGTTGCTTCATTTTGGAGCCCCTCGGGGCCCCCTGGGCCTCGTGAGGGGTGCTCTGGAGGCCGTGGGGGTCTCCCTGTAACCCTAGGGGACCTTGGGCCAAGGGCATTTCAAGCAACACCCGATCGACGGAGCCGCGGGAGGTCCCAAGCTACCAGCCTGGAACATATCCCCATCCCTATGCTGGGCATCGCCTCGTCACGATGGCGATGTTGGGGATTTCCTCAGTTTCTGAGGGTGCGTCCCTAAGATTGCCATCTTCTTTTAGCGTGTCAATCTCAGGGATTGACACGCGAAAAGAAGATGGCAGGGACCGATAAGATCACGATCGAAGGGATACAATATCTTTAGATACGCTCGAAGTGATAAGTGATATAAGATCGCGATCGAAGGGATGCAAGATCTTCAGGGATCGATAAGATTGTCAAGTGATCGAAGGGCTACACGATCTTTAGATACGCTCGAGGCTGGTGCTCAAGCGATCCGCGCTGTCTTGCCCTCCGCCGCGCATGCCGGGAGCCCACCACAAAGCAGCGGCCACCATCTGGGCACTCTCGCAGTCCCCGACCGGAGCCGCGCGGGGCCTCGCCCTCACCCGCGCCGCCCTCCTCCCGGCCGTGCCTCCCGGGAGCGCGCGGAGATGACGGCGGCTGGGCGGCTCGCAGCCCCCCGAGGGAGGGGCGAGGTCTCGCCCTCGTCTGCGCTGCCCCGCGCTCCGCCTCGCCTCCCGGGAGTCCACGGGTGTGGCGACAATTTTGCGCACTTCGCAGCCCCCTAACGGAGCCGCTGGGTCCAGCCTGGATCTGCGTCGTCCTGCACTCCGCCGTGCCTCCCAGAAACCCGAGAAAAAAATTAACTGCACAATACGCAACCCCCGACGGAGCCGCGAGATCTCGAACAATCCGCGCTGCCCTCCTCCCAGCCGTGCTTCCCAGGATCCCATGGAAGTGGCGACAACTGTGCAGTTCGCAGCCCCCGACAGAACCGCGAGGTCGCCTCCACCCGCGCTGCCCTCTACTCCGCCGTGCCGCCCAGGAGCCGGCGGAAGTGGCGACAATGGCGCAATTCGCAGCCACCGAAAGAGCCGCGAGGTCTCGCCTTCGTCCGCGCTGCCACCCACTCCGCCATGCCTCCAAGGAGCCCACGGAAGTGGCGACAGTTGCGCACTGGCAGCCCCCGAGGGAGCGCACCGAATGCAGGAGGAGGTAAGAGGAGGGAGGAGGTGGGGGAAGACGCGCAAGCAATGCTTTATTCAAAATGAGGACCCAGCACTGCATGGGTTGGGAAAACTCTGGATATCTTCACATTCTGATTCTACTAGCTCGCACCGGCCCGGGAATCCAGGGAAGGCGTCTCTGGAGACATGATGGTACTATAGCGAGTGTTTCGGCCGCTCGGACAAGGCGTGCGATGGCTTGAAAAGCGCCGAAAGGCAGTGATCCCATACGGGTGGTGTTATGTTGGGTGTGTCCCCCTACAGGCGGATTTTGGACGAACGCAGAGTAGTCGAAAAATATTCACTAATACTCAAATATAATCAAAAATCGATTCCAGACTATTTGTTTTGACTATGTTTGCGTATTCCTCCTGTGGAGGGACAGGCCCGACTTAAGGCCACTGGGCCATCACACTGCCCTACAGGCCCAGGGAGCAGGGCCCTCCGCCGGGCTCGCAAGACGGCCGACTGGATTCTCATTCTGCATTGCGTGTTCCTTGGACCCTCGGCCGCCCGTAGCCAGCCTTAGGTCGGGCGTGTCCCCCTGCAGGCGGATTTGGGAGGAAACATAAAATGTTCAAACATGCTCAAAACATAATGTCAAAACATCATCAAACATCGTCCCCAGGCTATTTTGTCCCTCCTGCAGAGGGACATGCCCGACTGAAAGCCAGCCTCTCAAGACAGCTCAGAGGAGCCCCCGCGCACTTGGTGGGCCGTGGACCCGCGGGAGCCCTCAGCGCCTCCCCCCAACCGCTAGACGTGCCCCAGCTTGGAAGCACGCCTCGCGCACGACGTGCCCCATCCAATGTGCCCCCCCCCCAGGGGCCGTCAGCTGGTCGGGTCGGGCGAAAGGAGGGGATAGCAAAGGGGGGATTGAGAATCAGCTCACGTAGCTGACTTTCCCGGCGCCCGGAGGCGCCCATGTATCGAGGAATGGGCCCCTCGGCGGGGCCGGAACCAGCTGCATGCAGCAGATTTCGTAGCTCCCCCTTTCCCAATCCCCCCCTTTCGTCCGGCCCGAGCTGGGCCCTCAAAGTGTCTCAAGGGAGTGTCATTTCGGCACGCATGCCTCGCGCACTTCGTGGCCCATGGATACACATTTCCATCTCGGATCACTCCTCAAGCACTTCGTGCCCCATGGGCCCTCGCAAATTTTCAGCTGGCCCCTCAACATGGTTCCATTCTAGCACGCGCACACACAAAACAAATAAGAGAAACTGCACGCACGCACGCGCGCACTCACGCACCCACACACGCAAAAACACACATACACACACACACGCACGCACGCACATGTACTACTTCCCGGCCAGCTGGGTGAACACAACGAGTCTTGATTAGGGTGAGACTCGCCTAGATCAATTATCTTCAAATCGTTGCCATCGGGTGGTCGGGACGTGGCCGACGCAAGCCACGCGAAAGCGGGGGGCGGAGCCAGTGCGCGAAGAATGAAAACCAGCAGCATGCAGCGGGGTGCGGGCGAACCGCTCGAAGAGTGCAGGAGCGGCCCGGAAAAAACGCCACCGAACGCGACTCGCTCACGAGCGCGGCGCGGGCGCACCAGCGGCAGGGGGGTGACCACTGCGGGGAGGGCCTGCCCAGCTGCGGAGGCAGGGGACGGCCGAGGAGCGGCCAACCGGGCAAGCAGACGGCCTGGGGGGAGCAGCAGCAGCCCAGATTCGAGGGGCGCGCTCCACTACTCGCGCGAGGTAGCTACGCACAAAGGGCCTGACTCCGCCGCGGGGGATTCACGAACCATTAGATGTTGGTCGAGCGCGCCCCCCTGCTGGCGGATGTCGGGCGAAAGATAAAACATTGTCAAGACACACTCAACAGTAAACCCAAACTGATCAAGAGATCGTCCCCCGACTATTTTTCCGACTATTGTCGGATCTCCCTCCTGCAGAAAGACAGGCCCAACCTAATACTAGCGAGACAGGAGCACATGCTGTTAGACAGGAGCACGTGCTGTTCTGACGTTTGCGAGTGGGCACCCTGCCAGTAGCGAAACGCCTTCGGTGATTTTTCAGGAGGCAGATCAACAGGAGCACATGCTCTTCTGACGTTTGCGAGTGGGCACCCTGTCAGTAGCGAAACGCCTTCGGTGATTTTTAGGAGGCAGATCAACAGGAACGCATGCTCTTCTGACGTTTGCGAGTGGGCACCCTGCCAGTAGCGAAACGCCTTCGGTGATTTTTCAGGAGGCAGATAGACAGGAGCACATGCTCTTCTGACGTTTGCGACGGGGGCACCCTGCCAGTAGCGAAACGCCTTCGGTGATTTTCAGGAGGCGGATAGACAGGAGCACATGCTCTCCTGACGTTTGCGACGGGGGGCACCCCGCCAGTAGCGAAACGCCCGTCGGCGATCTCTGTAGGAGGCAGAGGAGCGGGGCGACCCCCTGGGGAGCCACGACGCATCCGGGACCCGGGCTCCATCGGGCATGTCCTCCTGCGGGCGGGTCTTGGGCGAAACCTCGGGCATATCGTCAGACATAGTGATAACATCGGGCGAAACATTGGGCGGAACATCGGGCGAAAAAGTGGGCGCGGAAATTCAAACGTGGCCCGACATCGTCGAGAACTCGTCCCCAGACTATCTCCCAGCCATTTCTCGGAAGATCCCTCCTGTAGAGGGACACGCCCGACTCAAGACGAAGCCGGGACCATGGGGAGGGGGGATCGGCGGTGGAAAAGCCTCCCTTTCGTAAGCCTCCCCTGAGTGAAAACGGCCTGGGGTCGAAACCGACCGATCTGTACCCGCAAAAAAGTGACGGCCGCGACGCCCCCTCGCGAACCGAAAACGGCCACTTCCTGCATCGACGTGCCGCGGCAGGAGGTCCATCAGCCTCCGGAGGGCGGGCGGGCGGGCGGCGGGGGGAAGCGCCGACGGTCCGAGGCGCCCCGGGGCGAGGCGCCCCGGGGCGAGGCCCCGGGCGACGGCCCGAGGAGGGGGGCGCGCCGCCGAGCGGAGAGCGGCGCGCGGGGGGGAGCGGCGCAGCACGGCGAGGGCGAGGGGGGCGGGGCGCCGCCCGCGGGCGCGCCCGCGGCAACCGAGGCCGAGCGGCTCCCGGGAGGGGCCCACGGGCAGCGGCGGCCAGAGGCAGGCGGGGCACTCCGCGCGGCGGGGGCGCCCCCACGCGCCCGAGGCGGGGCCGCGCGGGGCGCCGCGCGTGCCGCTGGGGCGGCGGGCGGGCGGGCGGGCCGCTTGGGGGCGCCACACGCCGGCGAGGGAAGGAGAGGGGTCTCTGTGGAGCAGGGACCGACCGTCCCGGCATTCCTAGGGTCCTACCACGAGATGTTCTTAAAGAACCCAAGATTGTTCTGAGAACATTTCGTGGGGACCACAAAAAGTTCTTAGAACATTGGTGGGTGGGGCTACAGGCGAGCCGGGACGCTTCGCCACTGCTTGAGTCTTCGAGGCCAAAGGGCGTCGCGACCTCGCGCCGTGGCTCACGCGGGCGGCCGGCTCGGCACAGCGCGCACGCCGGAAGCAGGGGCGCTCTCACGCGCGACCTCGCAC